TTGTTTATAGGGGTATCTCCTCCATTCACCTGAGCCCTCAAGGATAGTGACTGGCTGCGTCCAAGTCATCTTTGTGTTCTGGGCTTTTACAGTGCCTGATGTATAGTGGGCACTCGTTTATTCCTCTCTCTTTCTCTAAAGAGTTATCCTCACGAGAAGGTTCACCAGGAAGAAACTCTAAGATGCTCACTTCATAATGTGATACAAAAGCACAACGGGAAACTCAATCACATGCTCCCTCTTTTCAGGCACTGACTCAAGGGGCTCTCTGAGAATGGACCCTTCCTTCCACGGCTCACCCTCCCTTTCAAGATCACACTCAGTTCTTGTCTTTTAGAACCACGGGGAAACAGTCTGGCAAGAGCCACTGTTGTACCAGTTGATTTAAATTGAAATGTTTTCCCCAGATAAATGCGTGCTAAATAATACACCAGCTCTCCAGCCAAAGGGAAGTGACAGGCGCTCTGTAAATAAAGGCACTTAGTTGCTGGTAAAGAGCTGTAAAGTGGTTCTGAGCTGATGTTTGCTGACCAGCAAGAAGCAGCTTCACCTGCTTTATATAATTGTCACTGCAGTCTTCCCTGCTGTATATTAAAACTGCATCTCATAGACCCAACTGTCACATTGGATATACCATCCAGCATGGGGTATGCCACCTTTCTCTGTAATTGTTTTTGACAACCAGGCATCACATCTCAAATCTTTTAGAAAGTGTCTGGTCCAGAATCCCTAGGCTGGGTCAGTTCTGACACCATGTGGCCTAGAACAGTGACACCAAAAGGCAATGTGAATAGAGGAGAGGGAAAAGGGAAAAGAGGTTTTGTTGGTCTCAGAGACGAAGTAATGCATAGTGGCAAGTGTCTGAACACAAATCTCAACAAAGACTCTACCTCCTCAGTGTTAAGACACATTTTTCATGTTACACTGTATCATGTGAGGAAAACTTGCCATAAAAATGCATGGGTATTTTGGCCCCAAAGCACACACGTTTGTTCTGAGTCCACATTTCTGTCCTGCTAAGTTCTGGAGACATGGTCATGTAGCTCTCAAGACAAAGCAAAGGATGGGGTTTTATGAGGACTACAGAATAAATCATAATGAAAACTGGGTAGCAGTGGCCAGGAAGCTCTGTCGTTATCACTCAGGGCAAGTTAGATTTGCTTCCCCCCACTGAAAAGAGGAACACAAAATCATTTTGTACTCTAATTCCAATTCACCTGCAGTGTGGTGGTGACAAATGCCCAGATGAAGGGTAGTGAGAATATCTGAGGCCAATGAGCATTCCTGCTGGTCCAGAGTGTCTCAAGGAGGGACACAGTAGCAGGGAAACCTAGTTTGTCCCTCGAGCCCCATGGGGTAGGACGAACCCAAGGGGTGGGCTGCATGATGAGCAGCCCAAGCAGCCCAAGGTGAACCCAGAGCACTCACTCATCAGAGAGAAAGTCACTTCCTGTGCTGATGGCCAGGAAAGTCAGAGTGTCCCCAGAGGAGAGTGTTAGAAACCAAGGGCGAGGGAAGAGCAGACAGAGTAAGAAAACAAGGGGAAATGTGGGCTCAGTGCGTCTATAGTTCTGGCAGTCTCTCACTGAGGGCAGAACAGACTGCTCGCCGGCTGCTGGCGGCATGGGCCCCATTCCACTGCGGACCAAGATACATCCTCTAAGCCACAAGCCCTAAGATACATCCTCTGCCTTCTTCTGGCCCCTGCATGCCTGTGTGCGTGTGTGAGTGTGTGCATGCGTGCGTGCGTGCATGAGTGCTTTCAGGGGGATAGGTGTACAAAAGAAGGAGTGCCCTTCTCTTTTTTTTGGTAAGAAAACTAAGCTCCCTTTCCCTTTCTTCCTTATCTCCTACCAAAACCTATTTTCCTTGCTTATTCCCAAGCTAAAGACAGTAAAGGGGAAGGCTTTTGAGAATTGGGTATGTGCAGAGGGGAGGGAAGGCATTTTTACCAGTTTGGCCTTCATCTAGGATCCGAGAGGCTGGGATCTGGTTTCTGAGAGCTGGAAGGAAAACCCATGTCAGATGCACACATAACTCAATTGTGCATTGAGATTCTGATCTATGGACCTTGACGATCACAATTATTAAATTGGGAGAAAACAGACATGCACTTTTCGGCCGCTCCCGCTCAGTTCCATCTCCCCCACCCTGCCCCCCTAAGGGAGTGCTTCTCTTGCTTCTGCTTCTCTCCATTCCTCTTGCTAGCTCCTGCCAGGAGAAGAGGAGCGTCTGATCGGGTTGGTCAGTTTGTTCACTGGACCGGGTGCTGTTAGCTTGCAGATTATTGTGCCTTACAGCAGGGCACATGAGTCACCTGGGGACCCCGTTAGAATGCAGATTCGGATGTAGGAGGTTTGGGGTGGGCATGAGTAGCTGCATCTCTAACAAGCTCATGCTGGGGCAGAGTTGGGAGGACATACATGGAAGAACAAGTACTTAAAGGCAGGAACCAAACGGTGGCTTGCCTCTTCCACTTCCTAGAAGGTCAGCTTACTGTCTCCACATATCCTCTGTCACCTGCACTCCCTGCACAGGCAGGGCAGGCAGGAGGCAGGTTCTGGCTCTCCAGGACACAGCAGGGTAGGTAACACTCTCATTCAGAGCCTTGACATGTTGCTCTGCCTGCAGCCCGGCTGAGCAAGTGGATACCAAGATTTAGATTGGGGGAGAGACAGGGGTTGGTGGCATAGAGAGGTGAAAACCAGGCTCCAGACTGGATCAGTCAGGGTTGCCTCAAGCCACTCCTAACAGACACATGAAAAAATGCTCCACATCGCTCGGCATCAGGGAAACACAAATCAGAACCACAATGAGAAACCACCGCACATCAGTCAGAATGGTTAAAATGAACAACTCAAGAAATGACAGATGTTGGCGGGGATGCGGAGAAAGGAGAGCCCTCCTACACTGTTGGTGGGAACGCGAGCTGGTGCAGCCACTCTGGAAAACTGGATGGAGGTTCCTCAAAAAGCTAAAAATAGAGCTGCCCAATGACCCAGCAATTGCACTACTAGGTTTTCATCCAAAGGATACAAAAGTGCTGATTCAAAGGGGCACTTGCACCCCAATGTTTATAGCTGCATTATCAACAATAGCCAAACTATGGAAAGAGCCCAAATGTCCATCAACTGAGGAATGGATAAAGAAAAGAAGTGGTATATATATATATATATATATATATATATATATATATATATATGCAATGGAATATTACTCAGCCATCAAAAAGAATGGAATCTTGCCATTCACATCAACATGGGTGGAACTAGAGGGTATTATGCTGAGCGAAATAAGTCAGTCAGAGAAAGACAAATATATGATTTCACTCGTGTGGAATTTAAGAAACAAACAGATGAACATAGGAGAAGGGAAGGAAAAATAAAGTGAGATAAAGAGGGAGGCAAACCATTAGAGACTCTATAGTTAAGAGAACAAACTGAGGGTGGCTGGAGGGGAGGTGGGTGGGGGGATGGGGTAACTGGGTGACGGGCATTAAGGGGGGCACTTGTTGGGATGAGCACAGGGTGTTATATGTAAAGTAATGAATCACTAAATTCTACCCCTGAAACCAATACTACACTATAAGTTAACGAACTTGAATTAAAAAAAAGCAATGAAGACTAGAAGCCACTCTATTCCAAGTATGAAGAAAATCAGATATTGACGCAATCATTGGAAGGGCCGTTTCACTTGCAACACCAGGTGGAATTTTCCATAGGAGGTGCTGGAGACCTCAAGGCAACTCGAAGAAGGCCACAGCAGCCCCCTCAGTCCCTGGCAGCAAAGCCAGTGATGCTCAGAAAGCTCCCCTAAGAGCTGCTTTGAACCTCGCATCTGCTCAGGGTCGGGCTGCCACTGCCTCCAAAGAACTAAGCCTTCTTTCCCTTTTCCAAATTCCAGATTTCGTCCCTGGGCCCCATTCTCCTTGGCAGACGCTGGTGCAGAACCGTGCAGAGAAGAGGATTCTAGGAATGGCTGTTCCCAGCTTTGCTGCACTGTTGAACAGCTGTGGTAAAGAGATGGTGCTGAGCTGACAGAAGGTCATGCACGTGCAGCATGGCCGGTCTGGGCGGCATGACGGAGCTGAGCTCTCCCTTGTCAGTAAGATGGCACTTCTCATCCCAGCAGCTATAATTCTCCTGGGCCCTGCTCCCTCCACCTTCGGTCCTGGAATGATGGGATTCAGGCCCCCATCAGGCCCCCAGGGCCACCCATCTGGTGAAACACTTACAGGCAATGATCCTGCTGTTCATGGCAAGCCTGCACCGAGGCCTCACATCCCATCCTGCCGAGGCCCTGATTAGTGAGGCTGTTTGTTACGAGGTTTGGCTGTGCTGTCTGAGACTTCTAGATGACATCTTTACTAGCAGCTATCTGCCCAGGATCCCAGGGAAAATGACAAGGAAGATGGGGGCAGAGCAGAGAAGGCAGATGTGCATCATTTAACTCTGTCATGCCTCCTGCAGAGAACGGGTGACCTGATGAGCATCACCTCTTGCTAAATGACTTCTTGTGTCCATATTGTCCCCCCTGTCCAGGGGTCACCATCCGTAGGTGGGCGTATAACAGGGTAAAGCTTAACAACCCCATGCAGCAATAACAATGGCAAAGCTTAACATAGGTCAATGGCAAAAATACATCCTGGAGAGAAACACTGGCAATTGTTCCGGCAGCATCTTTGCAGTGCCTGACGTTCATCAGGGGACCCTGGTCATCAAGCCACTGTTTGGGAAGACTGAGGGGGTGGCAATTTAAAGGCTGCTTTCCTCTCTGGGACAGCAGCCTATTCTGAGTGTGGGTGTTCAGGTCTCAAGCCTGCTTCCCGCAATGGTAAGAAGAGGCAGTGGATGTCCCTTTGAAAGCCATCCCAGCAACCGCGGGTGTCACTGCCAGGCAGGCTGATGTGAGCCTCTTTGAATTACTGAGTGAAGGATATCCCCCTTGCCAGCCCCTGTCCCCTGTAGGCACAGCAGAGAAGTATTACAGGCTGTCCTTACCTTGGGAATTAGCCTGCAAGACCCCGATGCTGTCATCAAACTGCATAGATTTGATGTTGAGTGACGCCAAGATGCATTCCTTGTCCTGCAGCGAAGTATCATCAATATTATTCTGATTGGCTGACAGGATAACGCACATGTCACAGAGGTTGATGTTGACGGCCCTTAAATCAGCCCGACTTAATGGCGTACCCTTTGGCATAGGGGAAAGGAAAAAAAAAGAAAGAAAGAAGAAACAAAAGTGAGACCGAGGGACAAGAGGGAAAGAGGGGGGGAAATAAAAACAAATTAAAGATTGAGCCAGAGCTTTGGGAAATTATTTAACAAGTATCTTTGTTATGCCTTGACATTAAGCTGGCCTAACTACATTCAAGGGAATGGGAGCTGTGTGCTAATCTAAAGGGTAGTCAGTGCTGATGGCGGCATTTCAGGCTTGCTCTCCACACTCAATCAAGCTGTTGCTAACAAACGAGGGAGAGGAATAATGCCAGGGTCCTACATCTTCTTCCTGCCTGGAAATTGTCTTGATTTAAGAAACTGTCCTGTGGCAACCTCTGGCTTTCAGAACATAACGAGGGGGTGGGTTTCGAACGCCTGTTTATTTAATAGCAGGTCACTTCTGTCTCGGGCAAAAACAGCAGCTCCAACTAGAATTTCCAATGCAGTCGAGGGGAAATAGCCAGTGAGCGTGGTGTGATGAGGGGGCTCTGATGGCGCTGCTCCACCTGGAGGAGGTGGGAGGGTTGGAAGGAATGTGCATCTTGCAAAGGGGCAGGGGAAAGGAGTTAAGCTTCAAGTCATATAATTTTATTGCATATTTTCAGCAAGAAAAAAAACAAAAACAAAACCAAGAGGGGCTCCTAGGTGGCTCAGTCAGTTAAGCATCCGGCTCTTGGTTTCAGCTCAGGTCATGATCTTTGGGTCGTGAGATGGAGCCCCACACCTGGCTCTGCACTGGGCATGGGGCCTGTTTAAGATTCTCTTTCTCCCTCTCCCTCTGCACTCCCTCCCCTGCTCCCTCTCTAAAAAACAAAACAAAACAAAAAACAAGAAAATCACCTAACTGACCAACAACATAGGGATGGTTGAATACACCACTGGACATACGTTCAAGGGAAGTCTATGCAGCAGGTAAAGAGACCAAAACAGTTCTCCATGTAGGCATAGCCTTGGAAGGATCTCTGAAATAGTGGGATAAGTGAGGGGGGAAAAAGGCACACACAAAAAAGTTGTAGATAATTCAAAAAGTATGATTTCATTTATGGAAAAAGAAACCCACAAAATAAAACTATATATTCATGAATATACTGATAAATGCATGTACATTCAGAGAGAAATTTCAAGAAAAATATACACTAAACTAATAATAGTAATTACCTCTAGGGAGGAGAATAAGATTGGGGGTAAGGGAAAAAGTTTGTTTTTGACTTTTACATACTTCTGTCTTGTTTGAATATTTTATAACAAGAATGTATTTGTATATTACCGGTATAATTAAAAATAAATAAGCCAGTAAACAGATTTGTTTTAAAATCCCGTAACAACAAAAAGCAGTGGGGGGGAAAGAAACAGAACAAGGAGGTAATGACAGAGAGGTAGAGAATGCAAGCTCAGGTGAAATAAAAGGATTAGTGCTAGAGGGGAGAGGTGTGACCTCCACAGGCTCTGTGTCCCTAGGAGGGATCATAGAACTGATCAGGCCAGCCCATGCCAAGGCTCCCCAGGGGCCATATGGCCTCATTTTGGAATTCACATACTGGGTTCTCCAGCCTGAACCCAGCTTCTGCTTTGCCTACATGGGGATTTGAGTTGCCTTCAACTCACTGACTGTATAGGGAGGGGGTCTGCCAACTACCAGATATCCTTGGATCCCTTCCTCCCAGTCTCCCTCCTGGAGAAGGGGCTTTGAGCTGATGGAACTTGGCTGCACAGATTGAGACCATCAACCGTCTTTTATGACTCAGTGACAGTCATGATTCTGCTCTCAGACCCCAAAATACTGCTGCAAAGTGATATGATGGAGGAAGAGGCATTTAGTGCTATGGGGCTGGGAAGCTACTAGGCTCTGGAGCAGTATCTTTTGAGAGGAGAAGAACCCCACTTTTCCAGGGATCTCTTGGTACAAAATAAGTCTGACCAACTTCCTGAATCATTTTGCCAGTGCATAAGCCTCAATTGCCTACATCCATATTCTTTTAATTTTCACCTTGTAGGGAATCCAGCAGTAATTGTGATATAAGACAATCCCTGCACAGTTGTATACACATGATTTCAAAACTCAAGAAATACAAGTGACATACATAGAAACACCATGTTTCTGTGGGCTGGCTCCAGATGTGGGGCACTGTTTAAACAATGAAATATGTGAAGACAGAGATGAAGGCCCATTTTGTACAAATATATTGTGCTTGAGTGAGCTAAATTTTGGAGAGTTTAAAAAGGACCTGCAAATATGAGAGCTTATTCATATGCATACCAACAGGTGAGTCATGTATGGAAGAGTACAAAGAAGGAAACACACACACACACATGCATGTGTACACACACACACACACACAGACTCATGTAGCCCCGCAAAATAATAAGCTCTTTTCAAAATACTTTTAGACCCCAGTCCATGTGTCCCCAGGGGACCATGTGGAAAAGCACATGTAGGAAGACAATCGTGGAAATACATACTCAAATCTATGACGACTGAAATTAGAAAGGTATATATCTGTTTATGCTTTTCCATGCATAGGACTATTTGTTTTTCTTCAGGTGACTGTTTTTAACTACCTGTGTTTACTAAAGCAGTTTACTAGTTTACTAAATCTAGAATTGTTTAAAAGTTTATGAAAAATATATTGATTAGTGATTAGGAAGTCATTAGATGACTCCAAGATCATGTATCCCAGTGTCCTTACACTAACTTATAGAGTCTCAAACTGTTCCTTTTAGATTTGGGTCCTAGGATTTTTTAAAATCAAGAATATCCCATGCACATATGTGCCCATGAAAACATTGCTAGGCTTCTAAATGAATGGGAGGCAGGGAGTGGCCAGCAGAAGGGATTGGCAGCAGGAATAAAGAAAGAACTCTTAAATGCACTTGGTTAAAAACATAAAGTGGTACAACCAAGATTTATAGAAGCGTTAATGACAGAAGTAGTTCCATAAGTAAATTCTGCTATAAGCATCATAATATCTCAAAGCACTAGGTTTGGGCGGGCAAGAGAGAGAGGGTAGAGACACTGATATGGTAATGCATTTGGTACCAGCCTAACTTTATGCTCGATGAGCAGCTGAACTTGGTTGCAAATTCCTTTTAATAAGGTCTCCCAGGGTTTAGCTATTCCTAGACAGAGCAGAGGGGAAGGGCTGAGTCCTCAGGCCCATAACCAGATGAAGAAGCAGACGCATGATCAAAGCTACAACTATCATATCCGTCTGGGATTTTCTTTTGTGAAGGGAAAGAAGAAAAAAACATCACTAATGTGACCCTGGACTTACGGGCAATATGGACACTTTGGGGAAGTTATGAAGCGTCTCCCATTCCCGCTTGAGGTACTCAATGGAGCCCACAAACACGATGTGCTTGAGCTCATGGTAATGAAAGTTGCTGGCACGAAGTGGCATCACCAGGTTCCGGAGGCCAATCAGGGCTGAGCTGACATCACCAAAGATGCAGACCACGACGTGACCGCTCAGGACTGTCATGGCAGCTTCACTTCGAGTCTGCAACAGGGAGAAGTGTACCAGCATTGGAGAAGAGACCTCAGAGATTGTGGTAAGGATTAAAAAAATCACTTTCATTAAGATAAACATTTGTTGAGTGCTTACTATGTGCTTTCATTTTTATTTCATCAATGTTACAGTCACGCCATATGTATTTATAATTTGAGTATGTGTGTATACATTATACTGGTGTAATAAGTATATATAAACATATATCCACACATAACATGACCTTTTTTGACAAAGATTTAAGAAAGTTATGCCATAATACATATGAGCCGGTGCTCTTTCCTGATGATTTTTAGGGGGGGAAATAAGAGGGAATAGCAATATTTAAGTTGCTTAGAAAAGAAGTCTTAGTTTCCATGAAATTCTTGATAAAATAAGCTGCCTTTTCTGGCTCTCTTGCTGAAATGATGATAAAATGGTAAGATCTATGCTAGTCTCAGCTTGAGAAGTTTGAATTTTGAGTTCTGGACTCACCAATGGGATTTCACACTACATCATTACATCAGTAGGTAGAATATAACATCCTAAGCCAGGGGCTGGCAAGCTATGGCCCACAGGCCAAATCTGGTCTACACCCTGCTATTGTTTGGCCACAACCAAGGCAAGATTGGTTTTTACATTTTAAAATGGTTGGAAAAAAAAGAAGATTTCATAATATGTGAAAATTACATAAAATTCAAATTCCAATAAAATTTTATTGCAACACAGCCAATCTTATTCATTTAGGTATTGCCTATGGCTGCTTTTACATTACAACAGCAGAGCTGATTAGCTGTGACAGAGACCATATGGCCAGCAAGATCTAAATTATTTATTAGATGACCTTTTGTAAAAAAAGTTTGTCGACCCCTGTCTACTGCTGCTTTGTGGTTTCCAGGTACATTCCTGGAGAGGCCCACCTGGGTAAGTCATCAGAGGAAGACTCCCAAAGAACAACTAAAGGGATCTAGAGATCTATCAGCAAGAGTAATAAGTCCATGTCCTCCCCCGACCCTAGGCTTGATCTCAAATGAATGAATAAAATCACCCCAGTGAATGGAGGACCCCAACTTCCCATGCAAATGGTTAGCCACTGCCACCCTTTTGCTCACTGTGTTAGTGAAGGAGGCCACTTAGTGGGCCTTTCTCCACTCCTCTGTCTGGTCCAATACCTCCCATTCTTGCCTTCCTTCCTCCCGATCCACCCACTGCATGCCTGGATGGCCCCATGTGGCTTTTGGGGAGGCATATTAATGTCCACTGCACATATCAAACTCTGTTTGATTTAATCCCTAGAATTGACTGGTGTATTGATTGTTTAAATGCCAATATTACAATTCACGACAATGTCAGGGTTATTACAGTAACCCCCAGGGAGAAGAAGAAGCCAGCTTTCACTGCCTGATCGTTAGAATAAAGCAGGGCTGTCACCATTATCGGTTTCCCTCTGCAATAGCCCAGCAACACCTAAGACAGGAGCTGTAAGATATATCTTAGAAACAGTGACCAAGGAGGACCCACTGAGAAGTCAACATCCCATTTCACTGCTTCATGGAGAAGAGCTAGAGTTAGTTTTCTTGGCTGCTTGGAAGTCTGAGTGCCTGGATACCGTTAACAGAGCATCAACCAGTCTGTAATATGCTGTGATGGGGTTTCTAATAACTTTTAATTGGAGTCTAGCTCTCTTCAGTGAGCTTGAGGAATACAAACTGGGTCCAGAGCGGGGTTGGAAACCTACACTGGGAAGGGGGTAAGGCTCCAGTTAGCAGAGTGGCTGACCACAGGAGCTTAGCTCTGGGGACCAAAACACCAATCCTTAGACCGGCCATAGTAACATCACTTGCAGAATCTTGTTGGATCCCAGTCCCTAGAGAGTCTGATGCTACCAGGCTTAAGACCCACTAGAGAAACTACTCTCATGTACATCTGGTGCTTCTTATACATCTTTGAAGGTTTAACCCAAGCTGGGCCTTAATGGCCTTAAACCCTTCAAAGAACAATTTGTTTGCATCCAGTAAGACTTCTCTGGCCACTGAGATACACAGCCTAGTCTTCTCCCCTAGATTTGAATAGGATTTTGTGCCTCATAACACTTAGCTTTAAGTACACTGTTTCATAGTTACACTTTATATCTTCTAATTAGATGATCATTTCCTCAAGACTGAGGCCACTTCATATTTTCTAACCCCAGAGCAGTTAGTGTCCTGCACCCAGAGAGTCCATGCAACCCCAAAGCATCTTCACATAGCTGGCTCTTCTGAGTATTCTCATCTCTGCTCCAATGGGACTTTGGCGAGGGCTTCTTGGACCACACTGTCTAAGTAGCACCTCCTGGTCCCTTTCTAGACCATGGCCCTCCTTGATTGGTCTTCATAGCACTGGATTCGTGTCTGAAATGTTTTTCTATCTTCATTTGTTTACCTGGAGATCTTCTCTTTGCCTCCCCTGGAACATAAGCTCTATGACAGCAGTCATTGTCAGGGGCTTTACCCCTAGCCGCAAAAGCAGTGCCTAGCACATAGACGGCCTGTTATAAATGTTTTGTTAAATGATGTTACTTTTCAGATGACAGAAGCAGTAACTCACTTCCCTAAACTCTTTCATGCCAGAGGGGATTTTGTTTGGATGTCAGTTAGCCATACCCTCTTCAGGAATACTGGTAAGCCATTAAAACCCTGGATTCCAGATATGATACCCAGCCCTTTTACCTGCCACAGGTGGGTAACACCAGTCTGAGTTTGGATCAACAGGGCAAAAGTGCAGTGAATACACCAGGATGTAAATGCATGGAGCACCTTCATGATTAGAACCATTTGCGCTCCTGGTAAATTAGACAATAGCTGTTTCTTGAGAATTCTGACTTTCTGTGCTTTTGTCTGTAACATTCACACCTCTAAGACAGCCTCTAGCACAACCCTGTATTGCCTCTTAATTGCTTGATTATAATTAAACTGAGAAAACACACACATACACACATTCAGAAAAAACACATGGAAAAATCTAGTGGATTAGAGTACAAAGCCATTTTGAGGAACTGGGGCAGCCCTTTTCTAAGAAGGGCAGCCATGACATCAGAAATGATAGGATTTTCCTGGCTGACACAAAGAAGCAGGGCACAGCAATCTGCGATGAGAAGACATCTGACCTTCCTGATTATTAATCCATTTTTCATGGATTAGCAGGACAATAAACTGTAGGGAACCCAATGTGGGCATTAAAACCTAAAGCTGTTAACAGCTGTTACACAGTGTAGAATGGATTGTTATCTAGGCTGACATTCCTAGCAGAGACCAGAAGAAGCCTACTGCCAGCTACCAAGATGGCCCAACCATGAAACAGGGCTCTGAGCCCCCACCTGCCCGAGGTGGACCCATGGCTCATCATTGTCATCATCAGTAAATGCATTTTGCATCATGTGCTAAGAAGGATCCCAAATATGTAAGGCTATTATCTAGAAGAAGACAAGACATTGTTATAAACAAGTAACATTGTTTATTTGATTGGTAGCATTCACAACTCTTCATGGCATTTAGTAATAATAATAATAAGAAGAAGAAGAAGAAGTAGTAGTAGGAGTAGTAGTAACTTTATTGAGTCCCCTGTGGGTTTTACTCTTCACTACAATCCTAGGAGTTAGAGTCAGTCTCATCTCATCTTCTTACAGGTAAGAGAACTGAGGTGTAAAGAGGTCAAGCAGAGCCACAACCATAGGAATTATGGATGTCTTGCACACAGCACATGCCTGCCCCATATTGTAATAAGCCAATAAATACTCAGAGATTAAAAATTCCATCCTCGGTTCATATTCTGATGAGAGTTCTAGCTACTTCAATCTGAGTCCCAAATTTTAATGATCAAAAATAGTTAGGACCAGGGACTGTATCTTCAGCTGGTTAGGGAAACCTCATTCCTAGCAATGGTAGTATGGGACCGAAGTGGATGGCATAGATTCTGTGGCCTGCCACTCACCAGGATGACTTTCTCTATCTCCTTGGGTGCACACCAGTGAAACATGCCAGTAGAGTCGTACTTCTTCACGTTGGAGTCCATGTTGTCAATCTGATCATTGCCAGGAATTAACAAGGGGTCATGCCTGGGGAGAAAAGGATAAGAAAACCTAAGTGGAAAATGTAATAAATTATAAATGGAAAGTGTCCCCTGAGTTACATCTCAGAGGAGATGAAAGATGCAGAGAAAGTGGCTGTCACTGAAGGCCATTCTTTTGCTTGCAGAACTCATTCCTTGAAAGACAACTACCCCAACCACCACCACCACCTGGAAAGGCAGGTGACCTTTATTAACTAGTAATTATGCCTTTACCTCCTGTTCCCATTTCCCTGGAATGGCCTTCACGTTATTTTGTGGACTTAGCCTCTTTTCATGGATACCTCTCCCTCCTATTCTCATTTTACCAGCTATCCAATCTCCCCCATGTGTGCACGTATGCACGCGCGCACACACACACACACACTCACACCAAAGAGTTGTTATTAGCATTGGCAATGAAGAGGAAGGAATAGGAATAGAGCCTCATGCTGACTGACTGGCATGAGGATGGAAAGCCAATTACTTGCTCTTTCTGACTACAACTTCTGACGTGATGCTCTTCGCAGTAAAAGCTTTAACAGGCTGCACTTTAAATATTTTAGCAATTTGCCCAATCAGATTTTGCTCTCCCTGGCTGAAGCCCTTTAAAGATTCAGCAGCATGTCACATCAGAGCAGATTGACTACCAAATGCCCACATCTGGAATACATGATTTCAATACTAAACAACACCGTCTCTCCTTGCTTTGACAACTGTATTTGCACTCACCGTCCAATGACGGTCTCCCCCACCCCCACTACACCTCCCAACTGTAGCCTTCGTTGGATGAGAGCTCAAGCTCAGACGCATCTTAATCAACTTGTCTTGAATTCACTCTCTTGCCTTGTTTACTGGTGGAAAGGAAAGATGCTGCTACAGAGGACTCCCCTCCAATGGGTTGGCAGAGCCTCACCAACAACCTTAGGAATTACAATAAAATCAGGCGGGTCTAACAGGCTCACAGCATAAGAGACATACTCCTACATTTTGGGCCATATCCATTGTCCAGACTCCATCTCTGACAGTGATTCCATATCTCAGTTTTGGGGGAGGTCGTTTAGGTTTCTACAACACTGACAACATATAATTAGGACAAGTCCCAGGCACACATACCTAGCTGTCTTTGCAGGGGAGCTATCTTCCCTAAATAATATCACCAATTCAAGATAGAAAATACAAATAAGTTCAAATTCCAAAAACTTATTATAATGTGATTTTGCCTTTTAAATTATCTATTTTAAGCATCAGTGGGTGACTATTTAGTTTTTAGTATTTTTCCCCCTGACATTTCTCTGATACTTCTCATTTATATGTCCACAACATAGAAAGTGGGACAGGGGGATGCCTGGGTGGCTCATTCGTTAAGCGTCTGCCTTCGGCTCAGGTCATGATCTCAAGGTCCTGAGATCGAGCCCCACGTTGGGCTCCCTGCTCAGCGGGAAGCCTGCTTCTCCCTCTCCTACTCCCCCTGCTTGTGTTCCCTCTCTCACTGTGTCTCTCTCTGTCAAATAAATAA